TACATGTTCTCACAATATACAATTACATGTATGTTTATTTTCTTCATGAAAAAATATACACAAAATGCCCAAAACTGGTTAAACTGGAAACTGAGATAAACCAAGAAGTTCAAGAATTCTCAACTGTTTCAAAATGGCGAGTCTACCAAGTAAAGAACTAATCAAACTACATGTAGCAAAAAAACCACCTACAATGACACATGAACGCATTATGGGGGTAGTCATGTAAATGAACTTACACAAGCATTCGAAGCTTTGAAAACATTGATAAACAAATAAATTGTCATAATTTCTGTCTAATTTTGCACTTTTTACCTTAAAATCTCTTGATATTTGTGCTTTATAAAACTACATGTATACATGTAGTATTAGGTGAAGTATTGTCAGTGTAATACCTTTTCCCTATATATTTCCCTTAAGCCTAGATCATGCTGTCGAGATTTTGGCCCAGAAAGTCCCCAGTTTAAGAAAATCTTGGGAAAGTGTGTGAAACGTCATGGCATCTGCATGTACATGTATCTTTAAGAACCTTGGATGGTCCTCAAAGGTTTTGAAGGCCTGCAGAAAATTTGACCATGTTCAAAAGTATCATGGCATGATTCCACAATTTTCAAGAGCTTTAGCGATCCAAGTGCACTCTGAATTTGTTCTGGCGTATTTTTACTACATCCGTCAGATATTCTCAACTTTCTGTTGAAAATTGCTCTTTTTCAACGTGACACTTCAGTATAAATATACAGGACTATTGTTATTTTGGCACAAAATCATAACTGCAAGGTTACCATAAAATATGAATGCATTAGGCCATAGATTAATGCTGTGGTGAAGATGAGGAGAGGAGACTTGTCTCCACTTAACCTCTAGACACCAGTCTGCTGATATCTGAAAATGATGCTGCTGAAAGGTTTCATCTTTGGCTTATGGTTAGATGCAATGGTGGTAATGAGAGGTTGGTGGCCTCCATTAGAGGGGCGTGTCCTCCTGATTGGAGACAATGGGGTGACAAATGCTACAGAAAACTCCCAGCGAATCTACCCTGGGCTGAGGCCGAAGAGGATTGCATCAAGATATAAATAAATAAATAAATAAATAAAAAAAAATATATATATATATAGAGAGAGAGAGAGAGAGATATATATGGCCCAGGGGGTATATACTGTACTTTGCCTACAATATGCACCATAGGTGCATGGTAGGAGCTATTCTCACAGGACAGCAGATGTTATATAAGCAATAAAATCTAAAAGGGGAAACAAACAAGATGCTTTAATTTGTTATATTTTTTATGACAATGACTTAGTTTTTTATCCTTTTTTGTGTCAGTAAAGACAAAGGGCTACTTGTATTTATGATTTATCAACTCCCAATCAGTCAAACTATTGGCAACTGAAACAAACTCTATCCTGAGCAGTATTGTGTGGTCCAGTGTGGTCCACAGCATACTGACATTCCAAGACACAAACAAGCTCACGTGATCACTGATGCACACGTCCAAAGAAGAAACTAAGAAAGATAAGGGGGGCTGATGTTAATTCCTGAGCTGAATTCATGCCAAGATATCACCGGGTGGAATTTGACAATGAATTTGGCGTTTCTTTGACGGAGATTCTGCAACATAAGGAATTTAGTGGCTAATGGCTAATGCACTAACACTGTGTTACACCTGACTCTCAGGACTGGTGGTTTTACCAGACAGGAGGTAATGAGACTTTTGTCAATCATATGCTGTATTTTTATCCACTGTGCTACTCAAAAATATGAATTCTATGATAATCATGACTATTAGGCAATATTCTGGGATGCGGTTTCAAAAGCTCAACAGTTTGCTAAAATGTCCAATTAAGAATTTTGATTTCTGTTTACTGGTGCAAAATTAATAGCAAGGTCATCCAAATTAAAAGAAAATATTTTCAGTGACAACTTCATACTGAGGTGAGGGATGGAAGCAAGAGAGTCTTCATTTCATCACTAGACACCAGTCTGCTGGCATCTCAAAATGATGTTGCCTAAAGGTTTCATCTTTGGCTTGATGAACCTTTGTCTTATGACCAGATGCACTGGTGGTAATGAGAGGTGTGTGGCCTCCATAAGAGGGGCGTGTCCTCCTGATTGGAGACAGTGGGGTGGCAAATGCCACACAAAACTCCCAGTGAATCTACCCTGGGCTGAGGCCAAAGAGGAGTGCATCAAGATGGGAAGTGTCTTGGTCATGCCACAGTCTCAGGAGGAAACTGAGTTCCTTCTATAGAATCTGCACCACTACTTCTGGATCAACTGTAATAATTGCCAAATTGAAGGTCAGTGACAGTAAACTCATTTTGTTTGGCATTACGTGTCAAATTACTGCCTAGAAAAAGCATTTTTCTTTGGTTCAAATTTGAAAAACAGAAAAGTCACCTGTGAGCAATCAGTATCAAAACTGTGAAAAAATCACGGCAATGACAATGTCAAATGAAATATAGACTCTCCTCATGCAATACATCAAGCCAATATGAAATATTTCTTGAAAGACTGCCAACTATGCCACTGTCTTTATGTTAGATTCAAGGGAGTATCAGGATGGCCCCAATGATGAGTGCAGAAACCGGAAGCAGGGTCAACCTAGCAACTTCCATGACCAAGACTGCACATTGTTACAAACATCTGGTGATTGGAATGATGTACCATGCCAAGAAAACCATGCTGCAGTCTGCCAACGACCTGCACCGGTCATCGACTTTTAGATGAAAAAAAGACTATAATTCTAAATCGCCAATAGTTTTGAGTATGGGAGTGGCATTTAGTGCAATGACAATCTTACACATCAAGTGTTCTAAAGTCCTCTACAACACGTGCTGCAGGTACAACCTCTCAAGTTTAGAAGGTGGACCAATGTTCCTTTTTAAGGGAAAAGTCGAGGTATGGAGTAGCATTTGCCTGTTGCTGTGATGGCGATATGTATTTTGTTACTGATGTAATGTCATAAGATATTGCAGTAAGTATTTAATAAGGTAATTCAGTTAATGTTTGACTGCTTCACTTAGCTTTCGTCATAGATTTGTGCATAAAATGTATGCCACCCAATCAATGACACATAAAAGATGTCAAAAGATACAGTACATGTTTAATATAAATACAGACACATAGATGAAGCAAAATTAGACTAATAATGATAACTTTTTAAACAAAACAAAACAAAAAAAAGAGAACTTCAATTCAAACACTACATATTGGGAATATAACTTACAATGCAGTACAGTAAACTTACTGTACTGTGGTACAGTAAATTAAATCCAGCATGCAAACGTGATAAGTCGATATTGGATGAACGAATTTCAATTTCTGAATCTGATTGGCTAAAAATCATTGACATGCATGGCGACTGTCATGACTCAAGATGAAATGGATGTTCATGATAGGGATTCCAAAACAATTTTTTGGGAGTAAAAAGCTTTAACATTTGCTTCTTTGAAATAATTTCATTCCAAATTTAAAGTGCAAGACTGTTCAGAGATAGTGCCTTTATTCTTGCTCAGGTGGTAACCGATTAATGTTCAACTGGTTTTCTTCCCCCACATGATTTGAGCATTCTGTGGCCTACTTGTCTGTCATCCCATCCAATGATATCTTAAATTGGTGAGGGGAAAATGTTTCATAGGAACAGTGAAAAGGTGCTGACCAAAATGCTACAAACAATGCCAGTGTAATACTGTAATATTCTGCTGTTCAGGTTTTGGAAATAAAAAAAATTGAGAGTGAAAAAGTACAGTTGTTGTTGCATTTTTTTATCACAGCTTTTGGCTTTGTTTGGCAAACATTTCCTACCATTAGAGGCAATCTGGAGTGTAGATGTACATGTATATATCTCATATTACCAGACTGGAAACCACAAAACAAGGAGCTTAGCTGTGTAAAGTGGGGAAAAGGTCATCAAATACAGTATGTCACAGTATGTCACAGTACGTCAAAC